AAACAAAAGAAACGGACTTGCCAGATACTTGTGAATCATTCTTAGACAAAAGATAAGGAACAGAAGGTCTATCATTCATTATTAGTGACCTACTCGATCGTAACGAATAGTAATAATCAATAATTTACGCGAGAAAGAACAATTTCACCGTCATTTCTTTTCTTCTTTTTCTCGGCTTGTTTGATGTATGTCATCTAGCATACGTTCTAATGTATGTTTAATTTCTCTTCTATCCTCCATCTTTTCTAAGGTGAACGATAACGAATAAAAACTTACTCTCAACAAGCATTGAATTGGTATAAATTGACAATCATTACAACTGAAAAACGTCTTGTCTCTTTCATTTAGTCATACAACTATCGTTTGAAACTGTTAGACAATGAACAAAAAAAGAAAGGAGGGAGAGGCAAACAGAAAGAGGAGGAAAAAAAAGTTTGCATACTCTTTTAGTTCTTCAAGTACAATAATACATACGTATATACATCTATATAAGAAATATGCTTTTTCAATGAATAGAAAAAGAAATTAAACATCTACACAGACACGTCATTTGCCTAATAATCTAAAGTCTGCTCTGTAATATATGAGTTAGTAATTACCGTTGAGCAAGCACTCAAGAGATGATAATATCATTAAAATACAGAGAGGCGATAGCGGTTAAGTCATTCACCAAGCATACGTAAGCGGACGTGCGTGCCATTTAAATTGTGATGACACACGGAATGTATAACAGCTATATAAAAAAAAGGTAACTGGCACGAATTACACTCCTGATTTATCATTTCTAAAATATGTATGTCACACATAGATCAATAATAATTAGCATTTTTTTTTTTATCAAAAGTAAGACTATAAATATAAGCCCACATAAAAACAAATAGTAAAAAAATCCTTACATTCAATATTTTAAATCTTTCTTCAAGTTTACATTGAACTTCAACTGAATTAATCCATAATTGATGCCATCTATTTTCAAGATCACTAGCATAATCAAATGGAATTTGTTCAATTTGTTGTTGATAATCAGCTTTTAAACGGTCACAAATTTCGATAACAGATGATACACGACTGTTCTTCGATTTAATTTCATCTTGCAATTTCTAAATTAATTACAATTGACTAACATAAATCCTTAAGAGAGCTCCCGTTCAGAGTTTTTTCGAGATGATTGTAGTGAAATTTTTTTCAAAATTTTTAGATAAATAGATCTCGATAAGTAGACTAACAGTTGTCATAGACTGATAATCGTTAAATACTTCTCTTCCGAAACTCTTACAAATGCAAAGACTAACAATAAACCATAACATGACTACGATATTCTACGGTTGAAATTTCTTTTTGTGTGGCAACTAGGATCAAACCTCGCTGCATGTTTGTTTTTTTTTCCTTCGAAAAATATTGTTTCTGAGACTCAAGAGAATCAAAACATCGACGCGACTATTTCAACAAAAAACACTAATTTTTCAATAATGCTAATTTTGTACTGTCTGCCAAACTTCGTAGGTGTAATGTTTTCAAAAGAGAGATAG